AAAAAAAAAAAGTAGTTTGATTTGGTCCATAAGTCTTCCCTCAAGTAGGCGCACCCAACCTAGAGTCTGAGATAAGGTGGGGAAACAAAGGAAATTACCTCTTCTGGGGGCAGGGCTATCATTTCATAGGGGTAGAGACTACCTCTGGGATTTCAATAAATGAAAAAAAAATCCTTTGTCAATGCAGTTCAGCATATTCTCTGCAACTGAAAGTCTTGGAGAAATGCCTAGAGCGCTGAGTGGTGAAGTGACTTTCCCAGAGGCTCAGACAGTATATCTCAGTGGAGAGACTTGAACCCAGCATCAAAGCCATCTCTGTCTATTATATCTTTCATGTGGGTGGATGAAACCTTTCCCAGTATCTTTATAAGAGTTGGAGGCAGCCAAAGAAAAGGGGAAGGCTTCAGTCAAGAGAGAGGTAGAAAATGAAGAAAATCTTTAGCTTATCTTCTTGGCCTGTGATAGTCCAAAAATCTTAGAACTTATTGTCTTTCATAAGCTCTAAGGGAGCAGCAAAGAATGAGTCTGGGAAAGTATTTTGTTATGAATTTTCAGGGTTTGGATTGACCAATCTAATGTCTTTCAATTTTATCTAGAGGCAAATAATAGTAAAGTGGGAAATAATAATCTTTTCATTACCTACTACTTAGGGTCGCTGTGCACAAAGCAATTTGTAGGAGTTAAACTATTACACAGATACAAACTATCATATAGATATATAGATTATACATAGATCTATATATAGATAGATATAGATTATATAGATATAAACTATTATATAGATATGTTATTAGTGCTACCATTGTTCAAGACCCATTAAAGAGATAGACTTGACATAAACTGACATCTGACTAGAAAATGAGATATTTGTAAAGCACTTTGTAAACCTTAGAATGCTATGTAAATACTAGCTATTATTACTATTACTGTTATAATTATTAGTAGTAGTAGTATCTCATCAAGTTCCATGAACTGCTGTCTCTATGCAAATGACAAATCTAGGTATATCACCTTCATCTCTCTCCTGAACAGTCCTCTTCTCCATTCACCTGTTAGAGAACACCAACTAGATTTCCCATAGGAAATTCAAAATCATCATGTCCAAAATAGAACCCATAATCTTTCAGCAAAGCAAAAGGTTCTTAATGTGGGGGAGGGGGGAGTGAGGTGTGTGTGTGCATGTGTGTAATGGACCCCTTTGGAAGTTTGGTGAAGGCTATGAGTCACTTCTCAGAATTATTTTTTTTAAATAATTGAAGCAAATGATCAATTTAAGTTAGAGATGAGAAGAAATAAAAATAGAAAAATAGAAAAAAATAAAAATAAAAAAGCAAAACTAGCTAAGCAAAGGAGAGAAGTTGGTGCTGTTTAAAAAAAGATAATGTTTTGGTAAATAAACAGATTTTTAAGGAAAATGATGAATTCATTTTGGTACGTGATGAGTTTGAAGTGTTCTCAGGACACCTAGGTAACTATCTTTTAGAAAGTGGAATATGTGGACCTATAGCATGTGAGAATGATTAATAATAATAGCATTAATATAGTACTTTAAAATGTGCAAAGTACTTGACAAATATTATCTCATTTCATCCTCTAGGAATTATTATCATTGCTATTTTACACATGAGAAAACTGAGGCAAACAGGTAGGTTGCCCTGCCCAGAATCACACAGCCATTAAGTGTCTTAATTAATATTTCAAGTCAAGCTTTCCTGATTTTAGGTCCCCCTCTCTATCCACTGTATCACCTAGCCAAAGGTATAAATTTGAGTGCATCTACATAGAGGTGGAACCTGAATCCATGAAAATGAATATTTGCCAAGGGAGACAGAAAACAGAGAGAAAAAGAAGAGATCTAAGGATAGGAACTAGAGGAATGCTTACATTTAGAGAGCAGAAGGAATCTTGCACATACTTAGTACCTAACAGATTTTGATTAATTATTTAATTATGAGGACCTAGTGAGGACAGAGAAAGAATGGTCAAAGAAGAGGCAAATTCTTGTTTATTTTTTAAAATCTAAGTAATAATTTAGAGCTAAAAAAGAGAACTAGGAGAAAGCAATGTCACAGAAATTAAAGGAGGACAGAGTATCCAAAAGTATGGGATGACACTGTTGATCATTCATATTAAATGTTTCAAAAATGTCAATGAGAATGAGGACTGATGAGAATCAATTATTTCATTAGGATTTATTAATAAATATCTATTACTATGAAGTCATTAATCCCTTTCAAAAAGTAGTTTCAACAGAGCAGTGAGAGCAAAAACCATATTGTAAAAGTTAAGCTCTATGAAAGTAGAAACAATGGAGGAAAGAGAAAATTGCCTTTCTTCATATCCCCAGCAATTAGCACAATGCCTGGTGCTTGGCAGGTACATAATAAATGCTTGTTGATGGTGAAGATGGTTGAACCATTATGGGCAAAGAGGAAGTTCATAGTATTTAAAGTGCNAATTAGCACAATGCCTGGTGCTTGGCAGGTACATAATAAATGCTTGTTGATGGTGAAGATGATTGAACCATTATGGGCAAAGAGGAAGTTCATAGTATTTAAAGTGTACAAAGCTAAAAGAGAGCTGAAAAGAGACCTAAGTTATCATGTAGTCCAGCCTTGTCACTTTACAAATGAGGGGACCCAGAGGGAGGAATTGACTTGTTCGAGGTCAGAAAGGTTTTCAGTGTCGGAACAGTGTCCAGTCTTAAGTGTCCTCATTCCAAACCCTACGGTCTCTCCATGAAACCATGGAGACAGCAAATATAGAACGCTCTTTCAAGATTATGATGGTGAAAGAAAAGAGAAAGATGAGATAGGAAATTGAGGAGGCAACAGAATGGATAAAGAGTTGTTTGGGATTTTTTGGTACAATACGGGAGACTTATGCTG